AGACAGACAGACAGACAGACAGACAGACAGACAGACAGACAGACAGACAGACAGATAGACAGACAGACAGACAGACACAGAGATAGATAGACAGGCAGACAGATATTATACGATTTTCACAGCAGATGGACTTTAAGGTTCTGTAAAACGTCTCATAATTTCAAAAGCCGCCTTTACATCAACAGAACACTCAACATTTATAAGGCTTATTTATGAATCAGCAAACATGTCTTCTTATATTTCATAGGGAAGATCAAATACTGTCTCTCTCTCTCTTTTTTTTTTTTCAAAGTTCAAAATAACACAGATTTTATGCCCTATCCACCACAAAAAAATAAAGAAATAAGGTCTCACCAGTAGTTGTAGTGTTTTTTATATTGGAATCCAAAACCACGAAAAGGGGAAGTTTAGTTTTAGTACGAGTTTTTAGGGCACTCGCAATACAATAAAAGTCATATAAGTGCCGAAGATTAGATGTATTACAAGAGAGTAACAAACACTAAAAAGGAAAGATCAGGACAATAGACAGATGATTTATAATAGAAAAGAAGGAGCAAACTAACTACACCAGAGCACCTGCTAACCATCCGTGGAAAGGGGAAGGCCAAGAGCCCAAGAGAGAAGTCCACAAGCTATGCACTTCCTCAGGAGGAAATTAAGCTTTTAAATGCTCAAAATCTGACAAACCCTTATCTGCTAGAATTGGACTCACTGTGGCCATAGCAGAAGCCACAAAAGTCCTTTTAACACTAATTTCTTTAAATTCGCTTAAGAAATATTCTGCTCTGCAGTTGCTTTAGTAAGGTCATCATTAGACATCAATAGACAAACCATCATTACGGTCATTAAAGGGGAACTACTTCAGTAGTGAGGCATGTATACACAAATCAATAAATACCTGGTAAAAGATCGGAGCTGTTTGAAAGTTTGAACAATATAGGAAGATTTTTTCAAGAGGTGAAGAATAGAATACAAAATGACAACATGGTGAAAATAAAACAACGACAGGTGCAAAAAAGACTGTCAATGGACATCCACGCTTAGAATCAAAGATGACACTTTACATTATATATAAAATTCTTTTAAGAGAATGTTGCGACTAAAAAACCCTAAATAATAATTACTGAAACTACAGTGTGTTAACGATACTAATAATACTGACAACATACCTCTATATCTATACATATTTTTCCCCATTAGCGAAAAAAGCAAAATCTTTGATAAAGTTATCTTGTACAGTTCCACTGAACTACTCAGTTCTGGAATACCTGAGCAGTATGAACTCTGAAATTCGATCCATTCACAAACTTAAATTTTTTAGCAGTTTGCTATTCCGAAAAGGGGGGTGGGAGGAGTTCCTTTTTTCATGAGTACAGATAGAAGGTGAAAGCTGAATTATACAGTTACAAACACACACAGTGTGGAAATCTTACCTCACCTACAGTGAGTGGGGCTGAAATTACAGGAGAGATTTATAACACACAGTAGCTTTCATCACCCCAGATGGAGAAACAACCCTACTCAATTCAGAAATTATACAAATTACTAAAATACATTGGAAAATTTTGACACACAGTTTGATATGCAGAATAAGGAAAAAACTAACAAGCCAATAGTAAGACGTGCAGAGAGCTTGCAGAACTTTCTAGACTAATTCACATAAAAAATTAATTTCCTTATCATTTACTTTGATTAAAATTATCATGAGCATACTCCTATACTTTTCTCTTCTTTCCACCTTCTAACCACAATACTTACTTTTCACAGTCTTTAACAGAAAGGATGTTGTAATTTCATATACTTGGGATAGGGAGCAAAAGATCTGAGTTATAGAGGAGAATTATTTCAGACAGCAGGCTTTATAATCTCATCGGGGAAAGAAATTACTTTGCATATCACTGACTAGCTATGTAGTTGATCATTTTAAAAATTGACTGCACTCAGTTCAGTAATGGTTTATAAGATGATAATTCCAATAAAATACGGGAAAACTCACAGTAAGCACTGGAAAGAGCCAGAAATTGTTGATTTCAGCACTGTGCCCCACTTTCTCAAAGCCAGCAGGAAGTCGAGATAGAAAGTATTCCCCTTTTAGTCTCTGTAAGTCAAAGTTTGACCGTGTAAAATTTTGATGACGATAGGCCATTGTGGCCAGGAGAGCAGAACTTGGTTGGCATCGAATGGACTCCAGCATTTTGTCGGGAAACCCACGCATCATCTTGACAAACTTGGCTTTGTAGTCCACTCCTAGCCTACACAAAACTTCTCTTCCAACTTGTGGAAAAGGCTTCACTTGCATCCAGGTGTACAGTACAGCCAGTTTGAGAACTTTTTTAAGGTACATGCTGGGAGTTTGAACCGGGTAGTTGTTTTGAAGGCTGCTCATGGTTTGGAAGACCTCGGAATCACGGACTTTTGCTATACACCCACCAAATGAGGTAGAAAACTTGATGGTACCAAAGCTGAATAGGGAAATGTCCGACTCTGGATGGCCCAGATGATCAAAACCACAGAAGCATTCAGCACAGTCCTCCACCACAGTCAAGCCATACATCCGAGCTGCAGAAATAATAGGGTCCATATCAATCCACCTCCCACATAAATGAGCCACAACTATAGCCACTGTCTTCGGAGAGATCAGGCTTGGGAGAGACTCTATCTTAGGTTCCAAAGAGTCAATGCTAATATCTAAAGGAACTATGGAAAGCCCATGGCTCTGTACAATCCTTCCCATGTCAGGAATATTGACAGCGGACATTATGACTTCGCTCCCTCTGGGGAACCTCTTGGCCTGCAGGAAGAGATCAAACCCTGAGCGCACAGACAGTGAGGGCAGCACAGAGTTTGCATTGGCCTCGGACATCCATATCTTGGTCAAGGTCTGGACCAGTTCAGCACGCTGGCCCATAGTGTGAGATCTCATGCATTGGTCGGCGGCATACTTGAAGTCCCCTAGCGAAGCATCTGGAGACATTGATAGTCAATACAAATAAATATTAATAAGGAACAAAACTGAAGCTCATGCCATTATCAAAACTTCTCACATTCTCACCAGTTGCAGAGTTTAGTTTGGTAAGAGTTTTACAGTACTTGCTATTGCATAAAGTCATGAGCACATAATGATAGTGGCAGAGTGCATAATTATATTAACACAATAACAACAATGAAAAGAAGAAAGACGAAAGGGCAAATAACACCTATATATATCATGCTTCGTCTGAACTTGTAACGACACACTGTTGGTAACTTACATGTACTGCGTTTTTAATAATTCTACGTCTTAGCAGAGGAGTTAAATTTTTTTAAAGACCTCACTTTCACACAGCACTAAGCAACTGTTTCTCTCCATCCATTTGACACTATTGTATTATTTCAGCTTAATGCCATTACTACCTAAATAACATAACTTTACAACTTTTTTATTTTTGTACAGCTCCACATCTCAGTAACAAGTTTGAGCTGAAAGAAACGTCAAATTGGAGTAGGAAAAACTATGCCATAACAGGGAAATACTCACCGATTATCACTGGGAAATAAGGTAGGGCGGAATAACTCATTATGTATTCAAACCGCACTGCCTCGGCTCTGAAAATATGAAAAAAAAGTTATATATATTATGAATGAGTTCCAATCAATCGATAAAAAAATACTGCATTATACACGCTTTTTAAAATACCCAGTGCATATTATAAAGACATATGCAAAGCTGGCTTGCTGGGCTTCCAAGTCACAAAGAATCATCTCATGCTTCATGAAAAAACTGCATTATCTATAGAAGCAACAGACTGGGGCTTGTGGCCCCAAAGGTTTTGTCTTATAAGTTATAGAGAATTTAAGTTAGCATATAAGTAGAAAGAGGGGCTTATTACCCTGTCTTAACACTTCACACTTAGCCAGTCACACCCGAGTTTTGATATTTGATGGCCATTCCTCCCACATCAGTGAGGAACTCGTCAAGGTAGGAAAGGCCAATAATGTGATCCTGCTCCGTCTGCAATCATACCTCACAAACGCACAGGCTTGGCCCTGTGAAGCGCAAATGGCAAAGCCTCTTTGTGAAGTATGCAAGGACTCATGCAGGGCCTGTATCAAAAAAACACTTTCCAGGCAGGCTGAAAGCTCTTTTAGAAAGTTCTTTCACTGAGGAGTAAGTGAAAGGGGGATTCCAGGGAACAGGCATATATTCCCCTTCAACAAGGATGCAATCGACACCTCTTCCTTTCAACATCGTCCCCAAGTATCTCTTCCATCTCCTAATACATCCACTGCTGAGCGATCCATATCCCCTTCTGCCACAAAAGCATAGTCATCAGCATCTTTTTCCACCACTGCGGAATCGATGGCACCATCGTCTCCACCAATGTCGTCTCCTGGCCCTGCACCATCTACTTCCACCACAGTAGAATCAATGATGACACCATCGCCTCCACCAATGCCATGTCTACTAGTTCTGCATCATCTACTCCCATCACTGTGGACACCACATTCCCCAGAATAGAGGGTTCCAAATCATGAACGCCTTCTTGGGAAAAGTTAATCCGTGACTTTTTCCTGAAGGAACTTCAACCAAGGTTTGAAATGCGAGTGGTTGTGGTCGGTCAGCAAGGGTGTTGCAATTCAGATATGGAGAGAGTCTCACTGGGGAAAGGTGTCAGCAAAGACGGCAGCAATAGGAATAGGCCAAGGTCAGGTTAATCAAAGAGCAAAGGCAAAGGAAAGAAAAGGAACAGAGAAATCGAATCCAGCTAAGATGAGGAAGGTGACATTTGTCACAAATGTGGTGCTGCTGAAGGTGACGACAACTGGGTGTGTTTTGTGACATTTGTGCAAAGTGGTATCATCTGGGCTGAACAGATATTCCAAGCAGCACAGATATTGAAAGTGTTGAGTGGGTGTGTGACTTTTGTCACCAGCCACTATAGATCAGAACAGACCAATTCAACATGTAAATGCATATATAGAGGAGCTTTTATAGCCCCAAACAATCGTCTTGACTACTTTTGTTTAAAATTCCGAAGTGGCTGTTCGGACTCGACGCTGGAGGCTATTCATTCGGACTCAAATTCCAGTGCGGTTGTACTGTAAGCGAGGTCTATACTCGAGTCTGAATAGTCTCCCATTGCTATTCGGACTTTAAACTAATGGTAGGCTATTACTATGACACAGCGTTTCACGACTACAAAGGGATCAAAACATAAAATTAATACTATAATCAGTCCTTATAAGGCAGCCCCCCCCCCCCTCCCATTTCTCTCTCTCTCTCTTACTTTTCCTCTCTCTCTTTCTCTTACTTTTTCTTTCTCCATCTTACTTCCCCAAGCCCGCCCCACCTCCTTCACCCCTTTTTTTATGATCATGCTATACATTCCCTCCCATACCGTTGCCCACTGCCCAGCCCTACTATTATATTATTATCCTTGGAAAAGAAAAGACCACAGTTCGCACTAGGTCACCACAGCCGGATTCCATTTGTTGTAAGTTCCTTGGCCAGATCGTAGAAACCGAGGAAGACCAAGGTCGAATTGCTTGTCTGCTTCACACCCGGTGCACCTGATTGCGCACGCACATTGGAGTTTGCGTCCGAATAGCCTTCTATTCGGATTCGAAAGCAGACTCGAGAGTCCGAATAGCTTCCTGTGGCTGTTAGGACTCGAGTCTGAATAGCGGCGGCCTTAAAATTCCTTTATTTCACATTAATTGGACATTTTCCCATTATATTTGATATTTTTGGAGATGAAGTTGAAAGGTTTGAAGAAGAAAATAACAAATGCTCAATATTTGAAAATGGGCTTTTTCCTTTATGAAAATTGAAAAAAAAACTGTCAAAGTAGCCTACCCCGAAAATACTATTATTACCGTGCCTGTGTAAGTTACCCTTATTATAGAATCTATTAAATTAAACATACAATTAATTTTAGATAATAATTATCCATTTCCATACCATCAAACAATCAACAACCGATCTATTCTAGAAAGTTGAAAACATGTTGAACTGGTGGGTTCAGATGATTAACCCCAGGACGAGAGCGAATTCTAACGGAGATAGAACTCACTCTTCTTACAGTGTAGACTGCGCTGCTCTGCCGGTGTTTACATTCTGAATTCTAAAACACATTTGACCCCGCAGTTTTAATCCTTTCCTCTCTTGATCTACTAAAGAGTTTGCTATTCTCATAGAGTTATCTCCTTTTGTCAATTTTACCAGATTTTACTGCAATTACTTTTTCTAAGCTGTCTAAATACCGGTATGCAACTACATGTAATTTTTTAAAGCCGAATTTTCTCGTGTTTTAAAAAAGATAACCAATTCTAAATATTTAGGGAATAATATGTCTTTTAGTTTATTATTGTTCGAAAAGAAAATGCATCATTACAACGAAAAGTGAGTGGGAATTCTTTGAAGAAGTTTGTAGGTCTATCATTATGCTAGGTTTTGACATTTGGACGAGTCTGGTCGGATCTCGAAGGGAGGACACTCTGACTCTGAATTGATCAAAGTTGTAAACAAATGAGGTTGCATGCAACCTTCTGCAGCGAAATCTCATTCCTGGTTGATGTATTTTTAAGCCTCGTAATTTGTACATACTGTTGCTATTGTCTTCAAACGAATTGTATGGGCGTAATATCACGTAGAATACATATAACAGTTCCATAATGGCACTTAATATACAGAAAAGAGCGTTTGAGAGAATGTTCTGTCGGTATGGATCACGACTTGGCAATATTTTCACAAATACAACAGACTCAACAGTAACAGAGAGGACCCCGCTGTCATCTGGAACAAACCCTTGGAAACGAATGGCTTGTCAATCTTTCAGCTCACATTCTGACCCATTAGTAAGATTATTTTACAAATAGATCTATTTAGAATCTACCGTCAAACCTGTCTAAGATGGAATCACAAGGGTGCATTTAGATCTAGAAATCTTGGCGCTTTTTCGGTAGTTCCCACCCCGCAATTTTATTCACGGGTTTGGGCCACAAGAGTAGGGGGGTTTCAGGGGGGCTTGCCCCCCTGACCTAATAAAAATAGGTAGGGGGTTTCAGGGGGGCATGCCCCCCTGAATTTTACCATAATTTAATGTTTTGCAGTTGTTAGGTTTGATATCTTAGCTCACCGCGAATCAAACATTAATATAGATCTAGATCTAGATGTAGGTCAGGCTCAAATAAGGGGGGTGGGAACTACCGAAAAAGCACCGAAATCTTGATCTAGATAGATCTAGATCTAGATTTCTTTTTAGAATCTAGATCTAGTTCTATCTAGAGTTTAGATCTAGATCTAGATATCTCTAGATCTAGATCTAATAATCTAGATCTAGATCTAAACCAGAAAAAAAAATTGTTTAAGATCATTTGATCTAGATCTAGAATCTAATCTAAGTTGGGCCTAATCATAAGACCTGGATATAATGGTGCTTTTTCGGTAGTTCCCACCCCCCTTATGAGCCTGACCTACATCTAGATTCTAGATCTATACGTTTGATTCGCGGTGAGCTAAGATATCAAACCTAACAACAGCAAAACATTAAATTGTGGTAAAATTCAGGGGGCAAGCCCCCCTGAAACCCCCCTACTCTTGGGGCCAAAACCCGTGAATAACAATTGCGGGGTGGGAACTAGACCGAAAAAGCGCCGATATAATTTCTCTCTCTCGTATTGGAAAATTGTCGTTCTCCGGTTTTGGCCCGAAGAGTACTGGATATCAATACTGACTTAAATATCTGGTATGGATGTTTTACCCGAAAGAGAGCGAGAGGTGCACTGCTATTTTTCAGTGCAAAATGAGCAGTAATATTTCAATTGTCTTTAACAAGGGGCCTTTTATTATTCAGACTCGAGTCCGAATAACATTTTTTCATATTCGGACTCAAGTCCAAATTTTAAAAATTCATATTTGGACTCGAGTCCGAATAAGAAAATTTTTTATTCGGACACGGGTCCGGAAAAAAAGGAAGTGTCTTCGTTCTATAGATCTGACGTTCAGTGCTTCCAATTTTCCGCCATTTTTTAGTTTCCCCCACACCTTGTCTTCTGATCCGATGCCCACCGCCTCATTGATACGCTCCCCCCCCCCGCCCCCTATGTTCCCCACTTTCTTTGTTGTAGAAAAAGGTAAAATTGAAGATTAGCAGATCTCTTGGCACCTGCATATTATGAGCTGTGCAAAAAAAAAAAAAACGATTCGTTCAATTACACAAGCCTGTGTCATCTTGATTGTTTACCAAGAAAAAGCTGTGTTGCTGTGTAGAGCCAAGCATACGGCAACTTTTGATTCCATAGACCAGCGCACAATTCATTACGTAGATCTACGTCAAGACTAGCTTATTATTGTAATAATGATCAATTGCCGGCGGGGGGGACTAACGCGTATGCGACGTTCAACGCTCGGACGATAGCGCCCTTCCCCGACACGCACACACAGCCACACTTGTGCAGGCCGTCCATCCGACCCTGACACACGCTAACGAGCCATCTTTAATTGCTTCTGATGACCTGTTGACAAATAAACATTTATTAGAAGCGCTCTAACTTTTCAGGCCAGCCTCAAATTCATCATAAGATAAAAACTCGGCTCCGGCACAATTTAACGCCATTTTGCCCGAAGTGATCCCAGTCTTTACCCAGCCTGAGGCGAGCCACGAGTGAGGCAGGACAGGAAGCCGGAGTCACGAGTCACAGGAAGTCGGAAGTGATGTCATGCTGGACAAGAATCAGAGTCCAAATAACATTTTTTCATATTCGGACTCGAGTCCGAATAGTCACTTCGATAATAAAAATAGGCCTATGGGGAGTTTCAGGGGAGCATGTCCATGAATTAAAAATTTGATGTTTTGCAATTTAAAGTTTGGTTTTTCTCGCTCGCCACACATCGAACACATCGGCATGCCATCGAAAAAGTAATCGTTTAGAACCTGAAGTAATCGTCGATGGAGCCAAAACCCACACTCCATAGTTCTATCATTGGGGCAAAATTTTGTGATGGGGTTGGGTGCCAGCGCTGTACACAGTGGGATCGAAGTTTGCCTGTCCGGTGGCAGTCAGGATCAAGCAGTAGACAGTGGTCAAATTAATTTCACACCTCTGGCTAGGAAATGATCCTTGCTGGAGTGCCACTTGAGCACTTTCTCAAGAAGTGGTGAGATTTCACACCCACAACATCTTGAACAACTGCACCGCTCAGGGCTCACATGAATGGAGCAATATAAACAGCCCCCCAAACCACACCCTTCCCCCGCTTCCTTGCTTTAAATTAGCAGCATGGCATAAAGGTTAGAATGAATCCAGCCAAATTTGGGAGTTTTATCATTTTAATAGGTAGCGTAAACACGGCCTCGCGGGCACTCACGGCTAGAGCTGGATCCTGCTTGCCAAATCTGAGAGTGGCGATTCGCGATTCAGTCAGCTTCAAAGAATCGCGAGTACGTGAGCGCTCGTGGAACGCTGCTCGTTGTATACGTGAAACAGAACAGTGTCATATCAACGCCACTTCGCGAATCCCACTCTTGTTGCCCCGCCATTGAAACGTCTCACCCGCCATCCTCTCCGCCAGCCCCCCACCCTTCGTTGCGCTGCTCTATTGACCTCAATTAGCGATCCCATAAATCCCCCCCCCCCCCCCCACTCCAAGATTCGCTAAAACAATGGCTCCATAAAATTCCTTCTGCCTATTGGTTGGAACCCGTTCATTTTGTTTTTATAGGGGGGTTGGACTGTACCATCTTTTGTAAAATAAGGGGAGCTGTGCTAAGTTTTCCGTTCCATATTCCGTTCTTGCCCTCGTGACATACGAGTAGCACTAGGTCTATAGATCAGATAGAGCTTCAAACTAGCCGCATGGTGGTGACAACGACAGGGGTGTGAATCGGAAGGCGATACAGTGGGTGTCACTTTCAACGAGGTCACATTCAAAGAGAAGTCGGCTCCAACGAGGCAATCATTAATCCCCGATTTTTCCTCCATATATCTCTTTGTAAATGAACGTCAGCTCCAACGAGGTTGCAAACAGACCAAAGTCGCTTTCAACGAGGTTGCGATAACCAGATAAAAGCAATTAGCGGCCCTAAAAGCGTAGAATTTCTCTCCTTTCTCTCCATCTCAAGCGAAACACAAGGCCCATCCTCCTCTCCATTCCTAACACATTGTATTGCTAGATCTAGTGTGCCTCGCTCATACACGCGCACTGATGCTGTTTGAGATTTTTGTCATCAGGGAGAACAACTGTTTTAATTACTGGTATTGGTACATTGTATAGTATAATAAATTGTTTCCTTTCTTTTCTTTAGCCTTACTCACGTTCAACGAGAGGACGGATCCAACGAGGACAACAAGCCGGTTAGCGACTGAAGCAAATTTGATAATATTTAAAACAGCTACTATTTTCTTTAACTCTTTGAACCCCATCGGGAGCGTCCGGCAGTAATAACCTGTTCCCCGTCGGATGCTGGCAGCGTCCAGTACTAGTGACAACTGTTTTGGTTTTTTTAGTGCTAATTTTGGCTTGTTTTTCGGAAATATTCCAGAACCAAGTTTTTTAGTAAAGACTAAGCCTTTGTTTCCGCTATTTAGAAGTTGGAGGCAAGCTTTAGGGGTTATAATGAGATTCCATTTGGACAGGTTTCCACTACAGCTGTATTTTTTTTAATTTCAGGGAAAGTATGACTTACCGAAATTATAGGGGGCTCTGATTCAAATTAACATTTACTCTGGATGAGAACTGATTTTTGCTCTGTATTTTCATGTATAACTAAACCTTAACTTACGACTTTCTGATCCTGGTAGTGGTAGTGCACCGGAGAGGCAGGCCTGCTTCGGGGATGGCCAATCTTGGTCCAGAATTTGCCCACTCTAGGAGTGCAGCATTGTGTGATTGCCTACACGATGAATACAATGAATATAATTGTAAACATATATGGTCTGCTGAGAAAGGTTGTTTAAGTATAATTGAAGAGTTCACAAACCTGTTTAACCAAAACAGGCCTTTAGGATTCCAGTTTCACACTCAGTGCACAAGAGCCAGGGTAATTGGTTTTAAAATCCATTCCTGTCTATTTAATGGGTACCTCTATCCTCTGTCACTACTTTTCCACTTTTTATGGCCCTTCCCCCGATCTGTAAAGTTAAATTTTAGAGGGACACAAATATTAGATAAAGATTTCAAATCTTTAACCGTGTTTCCTACAATTCATATGTATATGTCTTGATGATCTCTCTTTTTATGCCTTTGTACAACTAATCCATCCCTCAGATTTTTCAATGTTGATTTGTATTGCTTTTTATTGCTTAGAATACTAAAGGGTTCTTGTTTCTTTCATTTCATTCCAGGGCGTAGAGGGAAGAATCAACCGATCCTCTGAGAGTCAACGACAAAGACAAGCAAAGGGTTTGCCGAAAAGGTTGCCAATACCGGGAGTGGACCATGTTATTGCAGTTGCCTCTGGCAAAGGTGGTGTAGGAAAATCAACTACTGCTGGTGAGTGTTGCAGGCCATCATTTAGTCAAATGATCATTCAAACTAATTGTGGTGTTTTTATGTGTAGTGTGTATGGAATCTCAGCTCAGAAAGTGTTTACTGTGTCAATGGGTTACTTCTAAAGACATTACACTTTGCTTTCTCATATGAAGCAAGTAGTTCTGAGATTTGCTTGAGAATTGAGAGACTCTTACTAGTTTATGTTGAATAAGGCTAATGCTTCTTAGAAGTTAAGAAGGGGAATGAAATAGTATTGTTGATGATTTTTATGACAAGAAAATAGACCGCTCTAAAGGTTTTTATTTATGTCCATAGAATGATAAAAATAAACGTATTGGATGGAAAATTATCATGCAAAAGCTTCTACCATTTCAGGGTACTTTAATATGTGTGATTAAAAATGAATGCAATATCAGTTACATTATGGACATTAAATCGAAACTGTCGAAGATGACTACCCATTGTTAAGGAGAAAAGTGGTGGTCTTAGGCAGTCGATTCTCTTGGAGTACTTGGGGAGTGTCATTATGATAGAAAAAAAGCAAGGGGGAGTGGGGGGAGTGATCATTTGGACAGGTGATTGTCTTGGGCAGATGGTCATTAGAGCAGGTTCAACATTATATAGTCTATATATATTATTAGAAATAATAGAGGACTCTTGATTTGCTAATGTTCACTTTTTTTTATAATCATGATGTCTAGTCTTTATTCTATATTGATCTTTCCCCCCAGTTAATTTGGCAGTTGCCTTGTCTCAAGCTCAGCAAGTAAGATGTTTGTGTGAAGTTATATTCTTTCGTTTTGAAGTAAATATGAAATTCTTGTGTTTTCAGAAGTTCAAACATTTTATCAAGATTATGAAATAAAAATAATTTAACCTTTGATGCATGGTATTGAACATCATTATGAATATATATAGTATGTTTTTCCCAATCTATTGTTTTAAATGAAGTCCCTTGATTTCATTATTTTTCAAGCTTAAGGGTCGCCGGGTCGGCAATCCAAGGCAATATCGATACAATTTTTCAAACTATCCAACTTTTGTTTTTTGCGGAAAAACATCCTTTGACATCTGTTCTATCGAGTCAAAATGAAAAAAAACTGTTGAAAAAACACTACAGGAGCTAGAAGCTTCAAATTTGGTGTACAGGTGCTTTAAGATCGATTCTGGGGATCTATGTAAGGGAATTTGGAAATATTGGTAACTTCAGGAATTATTCAAATTTTTCGTAATATGTACCCAAAAATTTCGTCAACTGACTCTAGGGGGTCCAATGACTTTGGGCTCGCTTTTTTAGTTTTAAAGATAAGTCAAAATCCTTTCATAGATCCCCAGTTCATATAGGTTTGTACTTGTGTGCCAAATTCCAGGCTGATAATTCAATATTTACTATGCCATTCTTCTGCACTAAGAAACTGGTTTGAAAATTCAAGATGGCTGCCACAGAAACCCATTTTTCAGAAAAATTCAACAAATTCACCCCAAGTACATCCTATTTACCTATGAACTTCTTGCACAATTACATGAAATTGAATAAAAGTCATTCGTTTAGAAAATTTTTCCGGGAGTGTACGTCTCCCCTTAAGTGTCATTCTCCATTTGTATGTTCTTTCTCTCAATCCTAATGTTTCATTGGGGTTTTTTTAATTGGGAGTGAGAACAAAGTCATCATATCATTTTGCTCATGTTGTATAAATTGCTGGAGTTTATAGAAAGGAAAAGTATGAAAATAAATCTTCCCTACAAGTTTTCTTCTCTTTTTTTACCCCCAGGGTATCAAAGTTGGGATTCTGGATGCGGACATATATGGACCTTCAATTCCAACCCTTATGAATCTGTCTGGCCAGCCAGAATTGAACCATCGTAAGACTGATAGAGATTTCACATTAACAGTTTTAGCCCAATTGAGCGCAGATATTGTATGATGCTAGTACCAGGACTAGTTGCGTTTATTAAAAGACCTGATCGAGTTTAAAGTATAAAATGTTTCTTTTGCTTTATCATGGAATGGTTTTGTTGCTGTAAAGTTTTTTAGATATCTAAGATTAGTGTTTACAAGTTTACTCAAAATGTTGGACGGGGGTTGAATTGATTACTAATAGGTGCAACGCTCGGCTTGAGGATTCATGTGAGTTGAGTTTACATTTTAAAAAGTCAGCTCAATGTCATCTAGTACTTTGTTATTTGTTGTTTAACTATACATGCATGTGGTTTAACTACACACACCTACCTCATGTAGCGATCCAACTTGCACTGACTGGTCGCAACTCTCTGCTCTGCGCCTCGACCGCTACTCACGCAGTCTTCAAAAGTCCGTGGCTCACGCCTCGGCCTGTCCTTGGTTTCTTCAATGTCAAATAGGTAGCCTACCGTACTCGACTACTTTCCCGAGAATTACACAGCTAACCACACGCCCCCGTGATATCAAGATCAAACAAAACAAAATAAACAACAACAAAAAAAAACTTTCTGAAGTTCTTCAACTTGCGAACAGGACATGGTTCAACGCTATCTACACTTTGTACACTTGATTACTCCATTTACTGAGTTTCATAGTCCACCAACCAACCGGGGGTTTTCCTGACTCGATCAGGATACCGCCTGGGAGGGGGTTTACCTGCACCTTCGTTTCTCGTCAGGGTCTGCAAGGTTTGCTGCTCACCGCCACCTCCCTCATCATCCTCTTCCTCTGAAGTTACATCTCATACCACTCTTCTAACATCGAGAACGTGACGAGCCATACCATCGACAGCAACATTGTTGATCGAGTTTACTCCTGTAACCGTACCTCTATTCCACTTAGTCGTACATTTGCTCTGGGGTGGTTTAACCCAAACATCATCTCCAACTTCAAATCTTCCTTGCCCATCTTCTTCTTCATTAACAACGATATGGTTTCTCCAATCGTAACGGTAGACAGCTCTCTGTGGCACTGATGCTGGGTCCAAACCTGCTTTTGGTGTTGAGTTGTACCAAAACACAGCTTCTTGGGGGGAAATGTTTCCTCTTTCTGCAATGGACTTCACTGTACGGTGGTGTCTCTCAACAATCCCGTTCCCCGTAGGCCTATATGCAGCTCTGAACAATGGTTTGATATTCCATTTCTGAAGCATCTGCCAAAAACAATCTGAATGAAACACTGTGCCATTATCCATTAAGATCTCGCGCACTGGTCCCCTCTCAAACATGAGTTCTTTAACTACTTCCGTCACAAACCCTGCTGTCTCTCTCTTCAGTTTCTTCCAAATTGCGAATTGCCCTGGGCACTTGATGATGGTGAGTTATGTCTATTGCCAATCTTGTCCAGTCTGTAGCGACATCTAGGTTGCCAGCCTCATGGACAACTGGTGCAGGATCGATAGACTGACATTGCTCACAAGCTTGTGCGACTTTTTTAACATCAGCACGGCTCGTTTCTGGTTGCACCTTCCGAGCCAAATACAAAGTACGGTCTACCCCCATATGGTGCATATCGAGCAAGTCTTTCAAGTCAAGATGGCCAGTAGCAAAAACGCATGGTTCTGGTTCTCCCTCCTCCATTCCTTACCCGCCAGTGCTTAACCACTCCTTTTTCACTCTTGTCAGAATGTCTGCTTTGTTCTTTCTGGTCGGAACCAAGGTGACCGACATAACCAGGCCAAACTCATTAATAAGGCTTTTCAATGTCCCTAATCGTCTCTTCACAATCAACTCCGCTGCCCCTTTGGTGTGCACTCTCCTCTCTTCCGATAGAACAGTTTTGATCCAACCAGCCACCGTTGCTGAGTCAGTGATAACTTCGATTTCAGAGATGTTCCACTTGATGGCCATGTTTACACCTTTCATCGCAGCCTCCAGCTCTGCTACGTTGATATGATCAAAATCTGAAGGTTTCCGAAGCCATGCAGCATCCTCTACTGCGTTGCCATTGGCCTCAAGTAACACACTATATCCGATACTGCTAGCATCACACCGTGGTTCCTTTGGTTGCTCTAGGCACGTACCATTTGCCTTTGACGGGATCCTCATTAGTCAAACGGCTCAACATTTCCTTCAACATTTTCTCCACTTCATCGTTTACAATCTCCTCCCAAATGGTACCATTTGCCCTTCTCTTTATGTAGCTGCATGCTATCCTTAACCATCCAGCAACCGGTTAATGACCTGTAAGTTTTCCGCAGATCGGGAACAACTCCCGTTTGGTGACTTTAGACACTGCATGGGGAATCCTGTTGGCTCTGGAAAATATGAGATCTCCTGTGGAATCAGATTTCAACTTCAAACCTAATGCGGCGCCACCATCCAATGGCTCTGGTTCTTTCGTTGTCAACCCATAGTTGGCCAGGTGCTTCACCAGTGCAGCAGATGTCACCTTGCTCTCATCCAGCAGAATGTCATCAATGTAGGACTGCGTGGCAGAGTCTATCTTCTCATCCTTATTCAATACCGTTTTCAAGATCTTCATCATGATGCGGGGTGCCGATGTAAGACCGAATCCAAGTCTTTTCAGGCAATATGTTTTACCTTTGAAATTCACTAGTTGATATTTCCATAGATCTTGTGACACCCGAATTTGAAGGTAAGCACCTTTCAGGTCGACAATCGTTGCTGCATCTGTCGTCTGTCGCCACTCTCGCAATGTCTCGCCGCATACATCCGTGAAGTCACCCCCCGTGTGACTACTTACATATTTATTGAGCTCTCTGTAGTCAAGGACAGGTCTTACCTTGTTCTTGGTAGGTTGAACAACAGCCATCAGCGGAATTATGCCTATTTCTACTTTCTCATTCCATGGTAAAAGTATTCCTTCCTCTATCCAACTTTGTATCTCTTTCTCAAACCCTTCTGTAGTCTTCATATCCATCTGTTTACCATAACATCCAATCTTATTCTTCAGGTGGGGAGGATCCCTTTTCCATTTCCACTCTACTGTCCATGTATTGCCATCAAAAACTGCCTTAAAATCACTGTCGTCAATAACCTCAACCTCCCTGTGTTCGTAAACAGCGCTCTCTGCTCGCTTCACGTTCCCCTTTGCCTGGTCTGGGGGATCAGATTCAGTTTCTATTTCCGCTGCCCCACACCATTTGACACCAAACTCAACTGTACCATGGTTGACTGAAACTCCTCCCAAGTTGTTTATAGCATCCATTCCCAGTACCACATCAATATCAGACAGAATAGAATCTGAGACAATTGCATTTACGGAGACCGAGACACCTCACACGTCAATGATTAGCTCTTTCTTCCCCTGACACTGCACTCGTGAACCATCAAAAGCTACCATATAGTTCTCGCCCACGCAATTTCCATCTATCTGTGAACTGACCACTGTGACCATACAACCTGTATCTACCAATGCTTTGACCTTAGCTCCCTTCACGCCAACTTGAATTATCGGTAAAGATTGCGCCCTTATTTCAAACGGGTAGCTGCCGGCGCAGCAGCCACCCGAAGCTAGTTTTCCTGTTTCTTCTGATAGGCACCGTTTCCCCTCTGACTGCATCGACTGGCTATGTGCCCAACTTCATTGCAGTGGTAGCAAACAATGTCAGCACGATGACTACAAAACTTAGCCATATGTGGTCCACCACATCGATAACAAGAACCTTTAAATGCCCTCACACGTTGACTGTGGCTTCCCATTTCGTTTGCCATGGCTCCGCCTGCCGCCGCAATGCTGACCATTCCAGTCTTACTTGCTGTAAGGATTCTAGCTTTTGCTATTACCTCTGACAGTTCAACTTCGAAGACCCGGCTCATCTGTTGGAGCTCACACGATATCGGGTCAGGGAATCCATTTACAAAGGACAATCTAACCAGCCTATCCAGTTCGCTGCCTGAAAATCCAGCCAATCCTCCCAATCTCCTTAGTTCGTTTGCGAATACATCAACATGCTCACCGTCCCACCTCCTCTGTGTCAACTTACTGAACACAACAAATGAGCTGTCTGTGAATGCCTCTAGAAGACGCTTCTCAGTTGTCTCATATTGTGATCTTTCGAGCTCACTAAGCTGTAAGTACAACGCCAATGCATCACCCTCCAGGAACAACGGTACAAATTTAGCAAGATCCTGAATGTTCTTCAAACCCGCGACGAGTTTAACCTTAGCCAACCATGCCACAACATCACTATTGCCACTGAAAGGCTTGATCATGTCCGTCGTTATTTTCGATGCCATCACTAGCACTTAATATCTGGCTCTAGAATGAGCACCTCGCCGAAATAGCTTGTTGTTTAACTATACATGCATGTGGTTTAACTACACACACCCACCTCATGTAGCGATCCAACTTGCACTGACTGGTCGCAACTCTCTGCTCTGCGCCTCGACCGCTACTCACGCAGTCTTCAAAAGTCCGTGGCTCACGCCTCGGCCTGTCCTTGGTTTCTTCAATGTCAAATAGGTAGCCTACCGTACTCGACTACTTTCCCGAGAATCACACAGCTAACCACATTATTTAAAGACAGGTAGCCTTCTCTCTTACTGTAGACAGAGGGGACTTGGATGGATACATGACAGAAGTGGGATAATAAGCTTGTTGACTTATGAAGACCCTGTTTGATCATAGTTAATTGAGTAAGATTCACAAAATTACTAATTCTAGGATCAGTTTGGCAAGTCTGTCTTGTTATACTTTTTTTGTATCGTGGAAATGGAAATTAATCAAAACGGTTTTTTAAATGAAATGATAATATAAGACAGTTTAGGGTATGAACTGGCGAGATGTAATACAAGTATCTAATGCTTTCAATGTTATTTAAAGACCGTAATTCAATTGACTGACTGTAAATCAGGTCTACTTTCTCTCTGTTTATTTCTACAGAAAAACTCATGATACCTTTGGTCAACTATGGAATAAAGTGGTATGGATATATTTGTCGTACATTTGTGGATTCATATCGAGTTTTAACCCTTTGAGCCCTGACACCCCTCTTCCAAACCAACAGGACCACTGCACCTGAGCTCCATAGAAGGGCGGACTGCTAGTTATTTGTTTAACCACAGGCTGAGGCATGGTTTTGGCATATTTAAGGGTAAAAATGCCCCATGCTAAGATGTGTTAAGATGGGTCCATAGAGTCAAATACTTTCAGTGCGTAGCAAAATGGAGTGTAATGCATCTATATTTTTAACTTTCTAAAATAAAATAATATTCATAGCTTATTCAAGACTTCAAATCAGGATTTTCTACAAAGAGATGCTCTCGTGTAGGTGTTAAGTCCATTTCTGACTCAAACCACCTTATCGGTTTATGGTGTGGAGGTTAGGCATTTTGCTATCGTTTGTAGAAGACCTGTGTTCCATTTCGTCAGGGGAGAATTTTTTTAATTGAGTATCTTGGTTTTTCGATAGGGATGTTGTATCCCTCTCAGACTGAGACAGCCCTGACAGACAGGGTCCAAGCCTGTCTTTAAAATGGTGTGACTTGTGTTAATAGGGGCTAACTTAAAAAAACACTTTAGAAAACATTTTTACAAATTCAAACCACCTTGGATACACAATGGTTGGAAATATTACTATGTAGAATAGTTTGAATAGCTACATGTTTTTTTGAGTCAATTTAAACATAGAAGAAAGTTTTGTAGTAGCGTTAGAAGTGTCGGATCTATGAGTTGAAGGAATTGAAATATTGAACCTTTTGACCTTGTTGTTGTATGTATCCTTTTTCTTTCTTCTTTTTTTAACCAAGTCACTGTTAATTTTCTTAATATTTGAAACTTATGCATTTCGTGTTCTGATTACCATACTAAAAAATTATACTTGTGCTTGACTGAGAAGACAAGATGAATAAAGTGTATTTCTATTATGATCATTTTATGGGCATGGCATTACATTTTCTTATCAGCATGTCCATGGGTTTTCTTGTGGATGAGAAAGCGGCTATCGTATGGAGAGGACTTATGGTCATGTCAGCGGTACAGAAGCTGTTAAGAGAGGTAAGACAAACTATCACTCTGTACAAACAATCACTCTGTAAACAAAATTCGGTTCTCTAGCCCTGAGATTAAATAAGATAAGACTTAGTGATGACGTACAAAGTTGTTGTGTTTTTTTGTGGGCAATGTGATAAAGCAATAGTTTATATTACAACACAGCGTGCATACTTCAAGAATGGTTGATGTATTTTCAAAGAGACAAAATAAACATCATCTTCAACATTACCATGTATCCTCACATTGAACAACATTTTTCTTCCATCAACTCCCCAAAAGGATGGCAACCCCAGCCTTTAACATTAGATGGAGAAAATGTATGTCAGTATTTGCCCTTGTGAAGAAAAAGAGAAAGCGGTGCACCTAGTGGAGCTCACGGTGCCTCACGAGGACAACATCAATGCTGCACATGAGCGGAAAGAAAACCATATGAGGAGCTTGTTGAAAAATATGAGGAGGCAGGTTGGATGCCGAGGTTTCCTATAAGAGTCCTAAAGTGCATGAGAGTGACTGGACTTACTGCAAAGAAAAATAATAGACTCACAAACTCCCTTCAGGAGACAGTAGAGAAAACCAGTCACTGGATCTGGTTGAAGCGAGAGGACGCGGGCTGGAATTAATCCTAAGAGTTGGCCGCAGAGAAAAACAGTCGGACTAGCTAGAAGACTTCACATTGGTGAGGGGGCTTGGTGCATTAGAAAAGCTGTAGAGAGGAAGAGCCCGGAACAGGGACGCATTCTCTCCTGATGATTTTTAAAAAATGTTTATTTTGTCCGATTAATACTTTTTTTGTGGGATGGGGGGGGATGGGGTTGGGTTGGGGGATGGAGGAACGGGTTGGGGATCCTGTGGAACTCGCTATGTGGTAGCTCTATCATTATTACTTCATATGCTTTTCCATGATCTGAAATTGCAAGTATGTAACAACAAACTCTTCATGCGTTTTCAAGAATGTTTCTTGTTGTTGTTTGTTTTAGTATTTATTCAACGTGTAACTCTGTAATGATATAGGGCGGACAAAAGCAGGGAGCCATGCGAATTCCCCCAAACGACCCTTGGTAATTAATCATTTATAAGATTGAGAACCCTTTAGGAAAGGCACCTGTATGTGTGTGTGTGTGTGTGTGTGTGTGTGTGAGATAGAGAGAGAGAGAGAGAGAGGTAGAGAGAGAGAGAGAGAGAGAAACATATTGACAGACAGACAGATAGACAGAGCGAGGGAGGGGAGAAAGAGAGACAGAGAGGGGGAGAGAGAAAGAGACAGATAGAGACAGACCGACAGACAGATAGATAGACAGAGCAAGACAGGGAGAGAGAGAGAGTGAGACAGAGACAGGCAGACAGACAGTCAAACAAACAGACAGACAAATAGACAGCGAGAGAGGGGAGAGAGAGAGAGAGACAGGGAGAGAGAAAGAGAGAGACAGACAGACAGACAGAGCGAGAGAGGGGTGAAAAAGAGAGATAGAGAACGAGAGATAGACAGACAGACAGAGAGCGAGAGAGAGGACAGGGGGACACTGGAGAAAAAGTAGTTATGGTTAAAATTAAACCGATTATGCTTTTAATTATACAGTGATTTTTTTTTTCAGATCTATAGTGACGAAGTAATGTATTTGCATCTATTTGTTTATTAGAATATATGTTAACTTAAGCCAAAGTCTTACAGTTTATGGCCGTGGGAGACAGGGGAGTTGCCTAAAATATGAGATAGAAATCACAGGCTTCCTTCTTTGTTAAAGGCCTCTAGTAACCCAGTGAATTAAAACAGACGGCACTACATTTTTTTTTGACATAACAGCATCCCTGAGCATCGCAGTGGCAGCGATTACCGCGCGTAAGTGTTTTCACGCCCTGCGCCGGGCGATACGCGAAACAATGCATTGTTGTTATGGAGTACCGCCACGAGTGACATCTCTCTGTTGCTGTAAACTCTCTCTGGCAGAATTATGCAAATTTAGATTGCCAAATTATGCAAGACAAATTCTAAATTATGCAAGTTACCATAATGCCATTCAGGACATGTTTTGCTCTTTTTCAACAAGAATTTTCATGTTTTAGATCTATGTAGGCCTACAGATGAATTAAAAACATAACATATCAGTATTAGTAGGGGTTTTTTTTGGCATTTTGAAAGATACACATCAGTCAGATAAAAAAAACAACCAAAAAGTTTCAGCTGTAGAGGAGAGAAAAATGATTTTTATAAATTTTGAAAAAAAAAAAAGACATCTGGACCTCTGATGCCAGCACATCACTAAAACCAGGGACACTTTTATCTGTCTAAGACAACGGCTTTTCTCCTTGAGAATGGGAGGCTGTCTCGGACAATTTTGATTGAATATAATAAATTGAAAAGTAGAAGGACCTGATGGGGCAGGATTTCTTTAAATACAAACAAAGATGTTTTGTTTTCTGACGGCAGGTGCTCTGGGGTCCCCTGGATTACCTCATTGTGGACATGCCACCTGGCACAGGTGACGTCCAGCTGTCCATCTCTCAGAATATTCCTGTCTCAGGTAAGGGAATGCACTTCCAGGTAATGATGTATGAGAAATCAAATCTTTTAATGTATTCAAAAGTCAGCTTAAGTTTCTGTTTTTAAATTAATTTAAGAGATTTATCTAGATTTTTATTCGGAACACAATGTTCTGTTTATGTGCTGCCACCCGTATTTGCAAAGTGCTTTTGAAGGAATTTCACGGTTTGGACTTTGCTATAAAATAAAAACGATCACCATGTTCTCTTCGGGTGTTTCTTAAAGAATGATTGATGTCTTTGATTTCGGATAATGACATGAAAAGTGTGTGACAGCCAACTGTGTGTCCATCTCTTTCAAACTGTGAGAAATTATGGCCTTTTTATTGTATCAGTACCATTTTCTAACTTGAAATTTAGATATTTCAGTGTTTTCAGGGCAACTAAAAGGTTGATCACATGGAAACTTGATAAATGATCATTCCTGCCGGGCCCAGCATACATGATTAAACTCAAAAAAGGAGAAAATTATGTTTTGGACGGCCCCCTCTATTACAGTGTATCTTATATACTATTGTACCTTTTTTCACAACTAGGTTCAGTCATCGTCACCACTCCGCAAGATCTGGCTTTGATGGATGCTCATCGCGCTGTTACCATGTTCTCTCAAGTGGGCATTCCCAATCTGGGAGTCATTGAAAACATGAGTGTGTTTGTCTGCCCGTCTTGTGGACACCACGAACACATATTTGGTCAGCACGGTGCTCAAAACTTGACCGCTGAGACTGGAACAGAGATTTTAGGTTTGTAAGCACAACGTTTCTCTCTCTGTCTCTGTCTGTCTGTGTCTTTACCTCTCCTTTCTTTCTCTCTCAGTCTCAGTGCCTCTCTCTCTCTCTCTTTCACTTCCTCTCTTTCTCTCTCTCTCTCTCTCTCTCTCTCTCTCTCTCTCTCTCTCTCTCTCTCTCCCCTTCCCCCTCTTTCTTTTCTTCTCTCTGTATCTCTCATTTGCTTACCCTCTTTCTCTCTTTCAATCTCTCTCTCCCCACTCATGATTCATAAATGGCACACTGTACACACACACAGACACACCCACACACTCACACACACATCCTTTTTAGATCTGTCCACTGATGCTTTGTAGGTACCCCTGGGTTATTCGTTCGTTTTGCTTCATGTTCATTTTCATGCCTCTTTTTGTTCTATTTTGTGCAATACTGCATGACCTGGCAGTCACCTATAAAACCACATATATTATGATTATGAGAAAACTGCTGCAAACTAGTGCTGGGCAGTACTGGTGAAATTGAGTTCCAATACCTGACAAGCACTGGGTGTCCAGTACCGCCAATGTCACCTTTCACATGTCACTGAATGATGTAGGAAGTCTTTACTGGTTTCTTTTAGCCTCTATTTTGTCCTGCTACCCCATTGCTATCAGGTCTGTTTTTGTTCTATTTGAAGGACAAAGGTACTTGAGCTTCCTATTGCTGGCCTCAGAGAACATGTAACTCACACTGAGTTTTTTCAAAACATTTTCATTCTTTCTTTTGTCAGCCCCTTTAGCAAGAGGCAGTCTTCCGTAAAACTACATTTCTACTGCTTGAACTGTGTTTTCGTCATGTTTTGTTACTTAATTACTCTCATACGAGATTAATGGTGAAACAAAAAATTTCAGAATTCAAATTTTGAGTTCGTTTTGTTTTTCTAAATGTTATTTAGCTGTACTTTCTTCTCTTTTGAGGTGCTTATTCTTCATTTGACATCTTTAGTGTATGTTCCATCAGATGTTCTATTCGAGCCCAAGCAAGTATTTGAAATCACTTACATTTCCCAAACATGTCCTTTTTATTCTTCTTTGTTGAGGACCTTACTTGTGTACTTGTAGATTGAAATTTTTTCTTTCAAGAATGCTCACACACTTGCATTTTGATTATGCTCTTCACTCTACAGGTGAAGTGCCCCTAACACGCTCGATTCGAGAACTTTCAGACTCAGGGCAGCCCCTCGTGATTGCTGAACCAGACAGTCTAGAGGTAACTGCAAGTTTTAGTCAGATTTTTATTGTGTAATGTCTTTTGTTTGAATGGAGCACACATGAAATGGGGCATTTAATTTTTGAGTGAACTGGTTATATTTGTGTGTAACTTTCTGTGAGGATGGCAGGGTTCACTTACACATCGGTAAAATGACCAAAAAGAGAGAAAGAGACACAGCTTTACATACCCAAGACCCCATGTTCCCAGAAGCCCTGAATCTAGAGTCAATGTGAGAACTGCTCATGGAAGGGAAACAACTCCTGATAATGAACGAGCAACTGAAGTCGATTCTGGATTATGTCCCATATCATTACACTGGCATACAAACAGAATTTAGTCCCTGTATGAAACAGGGTTTACAGTACTTTAAAAAAAGTTGTAGTAGAAGTTTTACGGCGCTCACAACTGCATAAGGTCATACGAGCGCCAAAGGGTGGATGTCAACAGAAAAGTCCTTACAGGGAATCAGACTTACTCTGCTCACCTCTTTAGCTTCAACTGCACAAAGTCTGCTTCGACTATCAAGGCATCCCGGAAATAGCGGGTCTCAAGAGTATGACAAAAACATACAAAAGAAGTAGAGGAAAATGACGATAGTAAGTATTAGGAAAGAAAAAGCAGCAGTTCCCTGTTGTAGTTCAGGCACAGTTATGAGCATGACATATTTTAATCAGCCCATTTACAATTCTACCGCGCATAAGAACAAGAAATGTCCCCCCTTTGGGAATAGCCAAAAGACACTGTCAGTGGCACTGCCCTAGGAGGAGTACTTTTTTATGTGAACGGAGATTGTAAAGGAGAATGTTCCATCAATAAAATAAGAATAGTCGAACTTGCTCAACAGCACCCTGTCGTAGACAAACATGTCATGTACAAAGGATCTCTTCCCACTCCTCCCCCCCCCCCCCCCCCCCCCCCCTGTCCATTGCATTAGAAAAATATATATAATAATGACAGCGTCCAAGATGTCCACCTGTCTAAGACAACCACTTTTCTTCTTGACAATGGGGGATCGTCCTATCAGTAATATAAGTAATTGTTATTTCGTGAAAAAAACAAGAGGAAGTTCACAAACAATAGATGGGTGGAAATAATGCATCTGGGATCTCCACAGCGGCACCTTGAACCAACCAAGGGGGAATAGCAGTTTATAAGGCAAAGTAAGATTTTGGTGAAAATAACCTCTCCCTTTTACTATAGTTCATCTTGTGTCAATTTCCCATTCATATTTATGGATGCATAATTGTTCTTTTTTCAGTGTTGCTTCATAATTAGGCCTTCTTGCCAAATTCACACACACACATATTTTGAAGAACAGTTTCTGTGTCAACATTAGAGATGCATTCCTTTTTTAAAAATGTATGTACCATTGAATTGATTCAGGTTTTGTTTCATTTTTGTGTGTGTTAATCTGTCCCCATGGTTTTATGCACCCCGCATAATTTAGCAAAATTTGATCATTTTTTGCATAATTTCTGATTATTTTCCTTTATTATTCTTTGTTAAAATTAACAGAATCGCATCATTTCACATTTTTGGCTCAGTTTGCATAATTTCAGAATTTTTCTAGCATAAAACGACAGATTAATGAAGTTGTTTGAAAGCAGTGTGTATGAGACTCTGTTCTAATGTCTTTTTTTCTGCTTTTGTCTATTTTTTTTCAGAGCAAAGTTTACAAATCTATTGCTGCTAAAGTAATATCAAAGCTGACAATTGAAGAATCTGCCTCATGACCTTCACCATCAGTAGCTGTACATTATGTTTTTCAACCTGTGATTAAATAGATACCCAAGTGACCCATCTTATGACCTGTGTGGAGTCATTTTTTTAGCATACATATATTGTTGATGTGTACACCTTGAATTATGAGGTTGAAAGGTCTCTATTGAACTTTGTTGACCTGTACAATTACCAATAACCAAAATTATACTTATTCTCTATATTTTTACAGTACAGTGTTGAGTCTTCTACTTTCATGGAGGTTGAAAGTTGACAGGGTTTTTTTTTGGGGGGGGGGGTTTGGTGGGGGGGGGGGGGGGGTTTGTTTGGGTTTTTTGGGGGGGGGTGTGCTTTGTTCTTGTTACTCATTTATATGCTTCTTTGTGTTTTTCTGAGAATTTATAGGGTGCATACTGTTCAAAGTAAAAAGTCCTTGTCATATTGACCATGGGCTGTGAGGCTGACTTAGAACCACAAATAAACTCTAATTGTGATTCTAATGTCAAACAATGTAGATCTAACAACAAGCAAGTCAAAGCTTTCCAATTTGATGAACATAGTCAGTTCACTCATGAACGTTGAATGTCATGGTCATAGTCTGCACGACTGATTGTAACAGTGTCAGAAAAAGGTTACAACGATGACAACTTAGTTTTTTTCTATTCCTGAACTGCAATCTAAATTGAACATTTCCATGTGGTTTGGACTTACACATTGCAAGTGCAAAGTAACCTTTTTTTTTTTTTGTCTTAGCTCTTCGAGTTTGGGACAGACCTCATTTACTCTGTTTTTGAGACTCAGCAGGTTAGCTTGAGCTCTTAAAAATACTATACAGTAGTCTCTGCCGAAACGCACGCCATACAAAAACACGCTCCGCTCAAACGCACGGTTTCGTCATCTGACGAGTTTTTTACTATATAATTTAGACGTACAAACGCACGGTCACTCCCTCTAAATGCATGCTCTGATCTGCAAAACAAGCCGACTGGTAAAGCTTGACAAGGGGAAATTTCCACTGCAACCTGCACAGCTTAATGCATAAGACAAGCCTAGAAAACAGGATATTTGGCGAGACTGCCCCTCTCGCCGAACAAAGAGAGTGATGGGCAGCGTTTTCACACCCAACTTTCCACTGACACATAGGTCTAGGACTGGTCAATGAAATGTTGAGGGGTTGGGAAATGTTTTTTGATTGGTCACTGGAAATGCATCTGTGTGAGGTTTCTGACTGGTGTTTGGGTGACTGCATGTAATGTTTAGTATTGTTTAGTTAGACCTAGGCCTATGATGCGCAACACGAGTGAATGCTGTAAACATTAGATAGGCCTAGTCAAGTAAACTTAATCAGCTGAGCTCGAAGAACTTATAACGTACTAGTTCATCGAATCAAAAGAGAAATGTTTCTCTAAATGTAGAGATCTATGATGTCGTTCATGAATTTACGGTCGGGGGGTGGTTGCATTGAAAGCCACATGGCTGCGCCGTCGTCTCTTTGACATTCGCCAACAATTTCCTTTTAGGCTATCTGTTTCTGACTTTTGATGGTGCATATATCAGTCTTGGAGTTCCCCTCTACCTTTTCTGATACTCGGAGGGTATTTGATCATTTTTTGCCCTCAAATTGTCAAGAGTTGCAATTAATACGAAAAGTGTGCTCAAGAAGTTGTAAGCAGAAAAAAACAAGACTCGAACAAAGCACATCATAATTTACATTTCTATTATTTTCAGTTTTCCTTTCACAAACAGGGGGTAAAGAGAAAAAAATGATGATTGGTAGGGGGGAGAATGAGAGCAGAAAGCCTTTACCGAGTGGATACAAAAATGTATTAGAGCAGATGTAACTTAATTAACTATGAACCCCATCTTCATGAGGAACAGATTTAATTTACATGTAATTAAATATGCCATCTCAAAGCGTACATAAATGATCCCTGAATAAAAAAGCTTTGTTCGCAGAATTCATAGGAAAGTCCCCAACCATATGCTATTGTCATTTCCTTAGTTTTTCTCTTCTATTCATTATAATAATACAGGACATGTCCCCTCATTTAGAACAGAATTCAGTAAGTCAGCAACAAATACATACCATATAAGATAGAGGCGTCAACTTCCATAAAAATTTCTTTGTACAAAGCTCACCAAGGAATTAGGATGAGTCTAGCAAAATTTATGTAAATACTAAACCAGCACAAATAAAACAGGCACACAAACGCTGTGCAGGTTGTTTGTCTGAAATTGTGATATCCTTTATCAATTCCACTTTGTCCTAAATCTAGAAATAAAGTCTAGGCTCAAGCAGCTTGATGGGGTGCGATTTTACATGTGTAATTTTTATGTCACTTCAGTTCAATTTGACCATATAAGAGCTAAAGCATGTCATGCCATGTTATTGCTTGATGAAAGTCATGGTGTTGCACAAACATAAGTTTACATAAAAGGCTATTCTGTGTTGACATCACAGCAATCCTAACATGTGTACCCTCATCGGTCACAGATGCTTCATACACAATGTTCAACGAAGACTCGGACAAAAAGGAAACACGTCAAAGCTTGATTAACAAACTCGTCACCAAACAAAACAATCAACAATGCTTTGGATGGACTCAGCTTAATCGTTGCTAGGTGAACGTAATGAGGCATGAAATAAATGTATATACATCAGAACAGTCTGCTGACATAGATATATAAAAATGTTTTGGTGCCAGTATATCTGTGCTCATCTTTCAAGCTTTCTCCTAAAATAACTGTGATTTGCTTAGGGAAAGAAACATTAAGACATTGGAATAAATAAGTGAATCATTATTGCCTAAACAAAGACATTCAGCCTCTGATTTAATACTTAGGCAAGGAGTACAATCCTCCCTTTCTCACATGCACACTCACACGATAACTACTGCAAACATAGCATGAAGATTTTTTTTTTTTAAGTTAAAAACGCGTTTCACTTATAATAAAGTCTTGCTTCACAAATTGACAAATTAGCAAAACATTAAGCATCTGATACACATGCTGATGAAATCTTCGTGCTGAGATGGTTTCTTTATTTTTTAAAGGTCTTGTGTCCAAAGATGGCAAAACCTTAACAGGCACTTATGACAAATGATAGAAAACAAATAAGATTAAAACGATGGGTACAAACTATAAAATATCTCTGAACATCCTACAACTTTGTCTGTTATCAGAAAATTTGATAAGTTATATTTTTTTTCTTTTATTCTGGAAGTGGACTTTGTACGTGAAGATTGTCAACAAAACTCCTTAGTTTATACTGGACATTTTTTTTTTGGTGTACTTTCTTCTTCAACAGAACTTGGTAGAATCCAACTCTTGAGCTCCATTAACATTTGGAGACTGAGTGATTCAGATGAAGCATCTAAATTTGACTTTTCAGATCCCATTACATAACTATGATTTATTTCATTAAACTCTTGTAAACAAAGGCTGGGGATCCACCAGTACATGACTGAGAGAAGCCATTCAGTCATTCAGTACTGGACTTGCAGCATGTTTGGTGGTCTGTTCAGGACATTCTTGGTGGGGGTTCCAGGCTGGTGTCTGTAGGCTGGCTGTGCTTGGCTCATTGCAGATCCATAGATTTTCTGTTGAGGGGGGGGGGGGGGGGTTGGTAATTAATTGCATCATATTTTAAAAAGTGAAAACAAGCCTTATTATGTACATTAAAAAGAGATTATCTTCAGACCAAGAACAGCTAACTGGACTCAAACATTGTGTGTTGTATGGATGTCTTATATATACGTATAGAGTCACCAACATGGGTTGTTGGCAGGTATTCTGGTGTGGTTTGCTCTTTCTATCCTATCAAACATCTATTGTCTTTATCTCTCCTTCTTTTTTGTATTTTTCATTCCTTTGTATCATCACCTCTAATCTTCGGCATTTATATAACCTTATTGCGTTGCAAAGGCTGTAAAACTCTGGAACACATCCTCCAGCAGTGCAGACACACAGCCCTAAGATACCATGGGTCTCAATAGTCCACTATTTAGCGGATTTCCGCTACCGCCAGTTCCTCCGCTAAACTCCGCTACCGCGATAGCGCGCCAATCAGAAAGAGAGTTGTTGGGAGCAGGGTGACTGCCAGGCCCCGGGAATTTAAAAAAAATGGCGGAGACCCGGAAAATACATAAAAGATCTCAAATATTTGAAAACCATATCCAATAACGTCTATAAGTTCATTTCTGCCGGTCGCGATTGTGACATTAATTCGGCTCTGAGAGTACGTTTCACGCGAACTAGTGGCTTTGGCGGCAAGCGGAATTGTGTCACCAATGCTCGACTAGAAAATCAAGATCTACTTTCGCTTTTGTTACCATCCAGAAATTTGTCAGTAATTGTCTGATAACACAACGTTTATTGTAACATGCAGGTTCGGCATTACAAACGGGGTGTCGCCATGAAAATAAATAAATATTCGTCACTGTGCTGTCACTTGTGCGGGCAACAAACAAAAAAAAGAAAAGAAAGTTATACAAGCGTCTTGTCGGGCTCGCCATTGTGACCGGTCAATGAGCCTGCGCGCATTCTGAGTGCTGCGAAGTACAGGACTCAGGAATGGGGGGAGATTATTGATTTTTTTAAAAGACGCACTCGGGGATAGGGGGAGGGCTGGACGCAACACCTGTGGACAAAAACAGACAAGCTGAAACTGAAAATAAATGTTTAATGTATAGAATTTTGATTACTACTTCAGCTCTCTGCGTTGGTGCAGGCCTTGTATGAAATCGGGAACGGTCATAACTTGTAAACGAGTTATGGAACTTAGGGGCCTGAGTGTTCGCGTTTCATTGGATTGGTGACAGTAAATTAGATCTCTATATTTTAGCTTTCTGTTCAAGATTCGCAGATTCTCAGTATCACTGCATCTTGCCCTCCCACAGTTCTTACACCTCTCACACTGAATAGGTCTACTTGAGCTATTCTACTGTACTTTGAGTTTGAGCATTATTTTTGTCTTTCACGTTTATTATATAGGCCTATATATATGACATGAATCATGACAGTCGATATTCTGGTTCCAGGCTCAAAACAAGATTCATTTCTGTATAGTTTATGTATACAGGCGAATATGATGAAGGGAAAATATTAATAAGTCACACAAGACCCCAGGCGCCACCACTTTCTGTACGTAATCAAGATTGTAAATATTTGGTACGTGACTCTTACTTGAAATTATCTTCCAAACTCTCAAATTAGTGTGAAATAACCTTGCTGTGATAAATTGATGGTTTTTATTTCAGCATTCTAGGGTTCAACAGTATAATAATAATGGGTGTTTCGCGAAAATGGGCTTCTGTGGCGATCTCCTGGAAAGTTCCTCCTTTTTTGGAATTCTGAGTTGAGACCCATGGATATGAAACGTGGCCAACCCCATTAACACTTCAGGAGGAGTTATATAGGCCAACAGAGATGAGCAGGATGGCCCAGTATAAGATAGATACTGGTCTTCAAGTGTGATTCTATCAAGAAGAAGATGTAAAGTACATTAGAATTAGTTTCTTGCTCAGCTCATTCAGTCATAGGTTACGCTATACATGGTAAAGGATTGCAGGCAAGCGGTGCCCGGTTTGCTGCTCAAGTGAAGGTGTACTACTACATCATGTATTACAAGGCCAGCTTTCAAGAAAGTTATCCCAGAAGAAAACTTCATCGCCAAAGTTGACAAATTCTTAGGATCTAGGCCTACTATCGCTCAAAAACTAAAAAATTGAAATTGTACAGTCCATGCCGGCTTTAAGCACGGTCATCGGGAGAAAGCATAAGCATGCTTAATGCCGAAGCGTGCTTGAGTACGAAGTAGACATTGTCATAATCCAGAGATTTTTATTTAGAAAATTTCCTTAGTTATTCTCTTTGTAAGCAGTGATCGCACAAAAGTGTGCGTAGTCATTTTTACCCGCCATGGTAGTTTTTGTTCGTTTTGTTTTGTAGTCGAATGGGAAAGGAAAACTAAATTTGGACAGCCAGTCACGATACAGCACACTAGGCCTACACACTGCATGTGCGTACCACTGCCCGCTGTGCTACATTCATACCACCACCTTCATCCCACCTCGCGCGTGATACATTCAGGATTATCAGATAGCGAGAGGCAAAGGTGACATCGCAGCCAGCCTCCCTTTCTAGTCTCCCCAACTCTCTTTGTTTTTTTTCCGTCTGTGTGTAGCTTTGCCCTAGGCTAGATCCCATGTCCACGTGCCCAGCTATGTCCATCTCTCTGCCTTCCTCTTCGCGCGAGTGTGTGTGAGTGTCTCCATCACTTGAGTTCTTTGTGTTTTTCTTAACACATTCACTGCTGCAGTGTAGACTGTGTTCGAACTTCGATGGGTCATCATGAAAGTATTGACTGTCTTGTAAATGAAGCGTCCCCGAAGCCGAAATTACCGTGCTTAAAGACGTGTAATTTATATAGCAAAAATTCAGTAAGAGCCATTTAGCGTACTAGAGTCCAAAATGTGTTACCATGCTTAAAGATGTGTAATTTATATAGCAAAAATTTGGTAAGAGCCGTTTAGAGTAATTGATTCCAAAATGTGTTTTATGCCTGGGTGCATACAAATGATCTTTTTTTCTTTTGGCTATTCGTCAAGTAATCGTATAGTCATTTCCAACATTTAAAAAGTATAATTCAAAATCAGTATATTATCTTATAAACTGAAAATTTTTAGATGCCTCATGCATCCCTAGTACCAGTCACACACATCTGGACGTCTGTGGTGTAGTGGTTAGGTGCTTTGCCGTCACACACAGAAGGCCTGAGTTGGATTCCAATGTGGGAAGACTTTTTAACAGTATCTTGGTGCTTACATGCTGGAATGTTACATCCCTCTCAACCCAGGTTGACCTTGACAGTCAAGACTGAAGCCTGCCTCTTAATTGATCTAAATAGTGTCGCCGGGGGGCTGTAAAAAAACACCATGTGCTCGTGTAGAGTCACAGAAACTGTTCTTCCTACACTCACCCTTCTCGAGGTCCTCATCTGAGCATTGTAGAAAGCCGCTGAGTCAGGGTTGTTCATCATCAGTTCCAGCTGTAGACGCTCAAACTTCTCCTGCTCATCCTCCGTCTGTCCAGACACACAGAAAAAAAAATGTTTCAGTCAAGCAGTCACAAATAACCATGCTAGTATTCTGTTATGTGGGTAGCTGGCAGGTGTTTGCATGTGATCAGCTCCTTCTTGCCTATCAATCACCTATCCTCCTTATCGCTCCTCCTTTTTGTGTTTGTTACTATCTTGTAATACCTCTAATCATCAGCACTTAAATGACCAACAGTAAAGCCCTCTTAAAGCGAAATCTGCGGGACCATTGAATTTTCTTCGGTTTAGCCAGATCTTTGGTTTAGAGAGGTTGCTCAGATAGAAGAAAAAAGATCAAGGATGTTCTTTTCTTTCAATTTATCGCTCTTTTCAGATAAACCGTGTTCAGTTTAAGCAGACTCCACTGTGATTGTGTTGCAAGTGCCGTAAAACTCTTAATTAAAACATAAAACGGGTTTTTTTCATGATTGACTATTAGCATCGGACTACAGCATTACTTCTTCATCAAGAATCATTAGGAAAGTTAAAAATAAAAGAACATCCATCCCTAATACCAGCTGGTATCTTGATGAACTGCTTATTATATGAATACTATGAGGCTTTGAAGATGGGAGTTTTTACATCCTTCTATATTTCACGTCCGGAAAGATGTAGTTTTTATTTGCTGCAGTGCTGTATCAGGGCATCAGTGTTCCCAGTAATGAAAAACTTGTCACAAAATTAAACTGCAGTATCCACCCACAGTTTTTCTTCTAAATGAATAAGTCAGCAAACATCACTGGAGTAAGTTGCAATTAAAGTTAGATAATTACATTTAAGAAATGAATACAGGCATTGTCAAACAAACTTCAATATTCTGCAGACTCTGGGAAACCTGATACAATTGATATTGTAGTGTAAAGAAGGGGATTGAGGAAAAAGTGGTAAAATCTAAGTCTTTTACTTTTAATGGATATAGAGTTTATGGGCTACCAGACAAGTAATCATGAGGTCGCGGATTCGGGGGTTCGAGCCTCAGGCACTACGTTGTGTCCTTGGGAAAGGCACTTTACATGAATTTTCCTCACTTCACCCAGATGTGAATGGGTATGGGACCATAGACGGCGAAAGATCTTGTCTGAGTATGTTAATAGTGTTTTAAGTGCCTGTAAAATGGCAGCTTGCACTGTATGCTTCACAGGAAGTTGTGACTGTTTCAGAATGTTATTGGGTCTGCTGGGGTAATAAAATAGATTGTAAGGCAGACTGAGCTTGTTGTTGAGTTGGAATTTGCGCAATACAAATGTTATCTATTATCATTATTATTATAATTATTTAAAAAGGGGAGAGGGAGGGGTTCTGTGGGTGTAATAACAGGTTGGACAGTTATTGTGCTGAGTGATTTACCCCAAACGTTAACTAATCAGTTTTACACACACAAACAAGCAACTTAGTTTTGACCAGCACATTTTCAACTAGTTTTTCGAGATGTAAATCTAAAACAAGTCATCTACAAACATAGACAGTGGACGTATGAAGACAGACTGACCGCCAGGCTTGTGATGGGCACAATGACTCCCGGTCTACCGCCGATGCCGACCCCGAGACTTGTCTGGCTCTCATCAGTTGCCGAGAGAAAACTTTCGCTGTACCAGTTGTCAAACTCTGCAAGAAAACAAAAATGTCACCCTAATTACAAGCATGAAAACTTCAATTACCTCTGTGTTATGAACTTTGAACAGATATGTGTCATGACGCAGTGGAATCAGACGCTTATCAATTTTTGGGTATGTGGAGTTAGTGGTATCATCTAAAAGTTTATTCATTTGCCTTGCTTTTGATTTGTTAAAATATCCATCTATCTTGAAAAGAAGTCAAAATATTTGCCATTGAAGGAGGTGGGTCTCGCTTGGTTTCAAAGGTAAATTTAGCAAGAAAATTGCCACTAAAGTTTGCAAACTTCAATAGCTTTCGACTCCTTGAAAACTAACAATTTATATTTTTTGTGCCTTCAATCAACATTTTTCAGTAAAATTCAAGTATTTATATGGACATAAACGGTGTAGAGCTAAATAAAAAAAATTTGCTAAAAATTGCAACACTGGCAGGAAAATGCCTGTTTATTTGATTTAATTATTTTGCCCAGTGCCTTTTTTCACCAGAATGCTTCACATGATGAACGTACCTTGTTCGGGCTAAACAAATAAAATACAAAAGTTTTGAGAGGATGAATTATGTAGCCTACCTTGTATGAGCTAAACTCACAATCAAAAGATGAACATACCTTGTTTGTGTAAAACAAATTAAACACTAAGTTTTTTAGGGGATGAACGTACCTTGTATGAGCTAGGGCTAAACTTGCATGATGATGATGAATGTACCTTGTTTGGGCTAAACAAATAAAATACACAAGTTTTGAGAGGCTTAAATCATGTAGCCTACCTTGTATGAGCTTGAGCCGACATTGGTCCACCATGTTCTGACAGTAGACAACCTCCGACTTGCCGTTATGCAGCTGATCATACTTGCTGCGGTAGCTGATCTTGAGGTCTTTCAGCCGCTGGATTTCCATGAACTCCTCCTCACTGATGATGATGTCACCATCCTCGTTCAGGATCGGGCCTAGGATGACAAAGAGTGAGTAAGGTTATAGTTAGTTGTGTATGTAAGTGGGTAGTGGTAGTAGCTGTTGTAAGAGTTTTGCAGTACTCGCAATTACATCTGAGTGTGTGTGTGTGTGTGTGTGTGTGTGTGTGAGTTTGTTTATATCATTGCCATTCATGCTTGAAAACAAGTATATATGAGAGAGAGA